AGGACAGACTAGAAATAGTGGGGTGGGGGTGGGAGGAGAAATCAAAGGTGGGGCCCCCATTACAGGATGCTGCACTCCTGCTTCAAGAACTCTGTTCTCTTAATGCACATAATCGAGGTTGTCAAACAAGATTATCTTTGATATCTTTCAAGGCATCCTGTATACTTTTGATTTATGAAATGCTCCTTGTTGGAAGGTAGACGCCCACTGAGCTTTACCTCTTAGGCCAAACTGGCCTCGTTGCACTGGGGTTTCATTTTTCATGCTACAGTCACTGAATCAATTAAATCTACACTTGATGACTTGAGCTAATTGAGGGTAATTGGGTGCTCCCTTATCATCTGTTTTCCAGACTTGTCATTGATTTTTTTTCTTCTGTCTGAATAGTCTGCAGCAAATTCTTATCTTCTTGTTCCTTCTTTGATCTTCACCCAGTGATGTCTATTGACTTTACCCCACTTTGGTGCCTGGATTTCCTCCCATAAACATTTCTTTTTATGAATATTTTTTGTTTTGACATCACTCCCCAACAGACCATCTCCCATTTTCCCATAAGCCACGTGAAGCCTCCCAAGGTAAGGGGGTCAATGGAGGGTCCCAGTTACTTTTCACATTTGTAGTTGACTGTGAACAGAAAGCTAGCCTGTGTGGGGAGTGTCTTCCCTCATCTTCACGCTGTGACTTCTGGGCTCCTTTGATTTCCATAGTTCCTTCATCTGATGGCAGTCTGGAGCCCCAGACTGTCAGGTCTTGGGGATCCCTCTGGCTCTGCCATTGTTCAGACCCCTGGATCCCAGACCTTGTTTCCTGTCCTGTGTGCATTCGTGGGTAGATAACCAAAGGCCGATGTTTTTATGTTGCCCCCTTTTTGAAGCAGTCTGTGGCAGTCCTGATCCTCCCTCTGCACTGATGGCATTCTTCCTCACTTGGCATCTCAAAGGATCGTAGGGTTCAGACTGCACACCTTACAGTTGGAGGTAAAGCACTTTGCCCAAGGTGGCAGGCAGCAGAGCTGGGCATCAGCCCCAGCTCCTGCCTCCAAATGCTGCATTCCTTCCCTGGCTTAGGGGTTGTGCCTGCGCCCAGGTACAATGTGCTGATGATCTCTGATGTAGAGTGCTTGGCACCTGCCCTGGCCCTTTCCCTTGGTCCTATTCAGGGTCCCGAGTCCTTCCTGCCCCTGCTGTCCTCCTTGCCCCTGCCCTCTGCCCTGCCCAGGGCCCCGAGGCTGACCCTGAGCCCTCCTCCCAGGTTCACCAAGATCCAGAACACGAAGCTGACCATGAAGCGGGACGGCATCGGTTCAGTGCATTACCGAGTGCTCGAGGTGTCCAGGCAGCCACTCTTCACCAACATTACCGTGGACATCGGCCGGGCCCCGCCACGGCCAGCCCGAGGATGACGCGCACCGCCAGGAGCTCAGGGTGTCCATGGAGAGCAGGGGCGGGTGTGCCTACTGGCCTGTGACTGACTTCGAGGAGCTGCCCCACTGGCTGTGGGCATGAGGCCACCCTTCCGGGGGGGGCAGGGCTGGCAGGGCACCCTCATGCCTCTCCTGGTGCGAGACTCGGGACTGCTTCCCTGGGTGGCTTAGCGTTCAGTGGTTGGTCTGTCTGTCTGTCTGAGTCAGAAGGCTTCTTCCTGTTTTCTGACCTGCTGGCTCAGGGACCTGGGCTTCCTTACCACTGTGGGCTCCAGCCCATGCCCCGGGGAGGGGGAGGGGCTCACTCCTCCAGCCAGGCTGCCTGCCCCCCCCCCAGCACCTCAGGTTCTATCGAGGGGGGTGTTTTCTGGGGACACCGAGTCCAGGGGAGGCAGAGGTGACTCAGTACCGCCTGGGGGGTTGGGAGTCTCCCACCTGCATTTTGCGCCCCCCCAGCCGCCCTCTGCCTCACTGTCAGGGGACCCCGTGTGGCCCCCAACCCCACCACTGCCTGGCTGGCCTTAGGCAAGTTCCTTAACCGTTCTGGGCCTCAGTTTCCTCATCTGTAAAATGAGGGGGTTGGACTATATGATCTTTGAGGTCCCTTCCCAGCTCTGAGATCTTGTGTCCCTACTTCACCTCTCTGTGCCTCAGTTTCCCCATTTAAATCCCCAATTCCTTGAGAGGGGAGGAGCCAGCATCACTACCCCTGGGCCCTCTCGAGATGGAGGGCTCTCCCTGCCCTTGCCAAAGGGCCTGCGGGAGCAGGAGGTAGAAATCTAGAAAGGGATGAGCCCAGGCTCAGGCCCTCGCTACCAGCTTTGGGGCCCCCAGACTCAGGCTCAGGGCCCTGGGAGGCTGGGCTGTTGTGTCCATCTGAGGTGGCAGACTTGCATGGGTCAGGGGCTGGGCAGGACAACTGATGACAAAAGCTCGGCCCCTGATAGGGTAGGGGACCCTCCCTCCCCTGCTTGGGGATCTTTGTATATCACATGGGAATTGGTTTGAGTGCTTTAGTAAAAAACCTGAAGAGAACTGAGGCTGAGCCTAAGCTCTTTTCCTACTGTGGCCTCCACATGCCTTTTCGTGGGGGAGGGGAACCAGGAGAACATGGGTCCTCATTGCTACAAGGGGATGGGGGTGGGCCAGTGAGAACCCAGGGAGATCCTCCCCCACACACTGGGGAAAGAAGCCTCATGTGCCCCTCCTGCAAGGAGGAGAAGTGGTCAGGAAACTCTTCCAGCTTGGATCAAGGGGCAACCCTGGGGTCCTCTCATCCCAGAAGGAGGGGGAGCACCCTCAGGGCCTGGCAAGAGCTCCCTTTCATTCTCTGGAATTCCCATTATGTGCAAAGCCTCCCTCTCACTGGAGGTATCAAGGCTTCCAAGCTGGGGGGAGTGGAGGTCTCAAGGGGAATCCTTGTTCAGGAACCCACTGGGCTTAGTTAAGTCCTCTGCAGGCTCTGAGAGTCTCTGACAGAACAGCCCAGCCCTCACCAGTTTTTTTTTTTTTTAGTCAATTGGGGTTAAGTGACTTGCCCAGGGTCACAGCTAGTAAGTGTGTTTGGTCTGAGGCTGGATTTGAACTCCAAGTCCTCCTGACCTTGGACAGGTGCTGTATCCACTGTGCCTCCTAGCTGCCCCAAACAGAATGGACACAGATTTTCTTTATTTTTATTATTATTATTTTTAATGGGGCAATGGAGTTAAGTGACTTGCCCAGGGTCACACAGCTAAGTGAGTGTTATGTGTCTGAGGCTGGTTTTGAACTCGGGTCCTCATAACTCCAAGGCCGGAGCTCTATCCATTGCGCCATCTAGCTGCTCCCCTCGTCAGTCTTGAAATGATGTGGGGTCCTGAAGACCACCAGTGGAAGGCACATGGGCTTGGCTAGGTTCTGCCCAGCTTGGGGCTTTGAGGCGGAGATAGCTGAGGACCTGTCCAGGGAAACTCACCTGGGAGATGAGTTTTTGGCCACAGCAACTCAATCAGATATCGAGATGAAGAAGCCTCGTAATCTGCATGGAAGGAGGGGGTCCCTCATCAGTGAAATCATGGACCTTTTGAGTCACCTGATTATGAGTGGGGACTGTTGGTACAAGGCTAAAATGAGACTGCCCCTGCCTGCCCCCCAGGAGGATCACTCATGAGCTTAAGTGAGTAAAGGACAAAGTGATTAAGGAGGGCAGAGGCAACCCCTGAGTGAAGAAAGGCCCAGGGATGGAAACGAGCCTCCTTTCATTTCTGAGAACATCTTTGTGGGCTGACGTAGAATTTGAGTCCCCAGTCTCCTATCTACCCATCCTTTTAAGCCCTTTGAAATCTGCCCTCCCAGAATCTAGGGTGTGTCATGCTGCATTTGGATTTCCTCTATCACAGACTCCCATCACTCCCACCCCACAAGCCAGTGCCTGCCTGGCTGCTTTGTGAGGCTACATCCAGAACAGAATTTCCTTGAGTGGCTCGTCCACTTGAAAATGGGGAAAAGTCCTTTTGGCTGATCTCTGGAGTCTGGGATGACTGAAGTCGAGGCCTTTGCATCAGTCTGGCAAGCTGCTTCCCAGACAGTATCCATTTCCTCTTTCTGTCCTGGTGGTCTGTAGTATCCTCTGGTTTAAAAAAAAATGTTGCGTCTGTTTCTTCATCTACTGCCAAATGCCATGCAATGTGCTTACCACCTAAAGGTTATCAGATATCCTCATGTGGGTATTCTTACTATGCAAAGTTATGAAGCCATATTTTTCTTGGGGTAGGGTCTCCAGTTCTTCCTGGATTTGTTTTTGGTTTTTTTGTGTACTTTGTACTTAAATTGAATGCCACCTCCCCCCAAAGGAATTCCTGCTCTGGACTCACACAAAGCCTATATTCATCTGACCCCTCTCCCTCCCCCCCCCGAAATGAGTTAGACATTTTTCATTTATTTGGCTTGTATCCCCACTCTGGAGTAGAACTCCAGCTTAGGTACAGCTCATGTCAAGGACCTTCCCCAAAGGAATTAACAGCCTTTCTTTTAGAAATAAACATGGCAGCTAATTCCATATGTATTCAGGACAGTTATATTTCTTTCACAAAAGATGTACTTAAAATACAAAAAGCTCATAAGTACATGTTAACCAATACTTAAAATATAAGGCATTGTTCACCACATCTGTCTCCTGGCTCTTCATCTAGGTCATGCCCCCTAACTGTAGGTGTCCCTGGGCCTTCTCCCTGTATACTGTGTCACTTGGTGATCTCAGCTCCCATGATTCGAAAACTTACTTATCTAGCCTTAACCTCTCTGCTTGTCTAGATGGCAGTTTGATGGTGGGGTGGGGTGATAGAATGTTGAGGCTGGAGTCTGGAAGACCTCAATTAAAATCTGGCCTCACTTACTAAGTTCAGGACCTTTGTCACTTCAATCTCTGCCTCCATTTCCTCAACTGTAAAATGGCATAAGAATAGTACCTACCTACCTCTCTCTGCCCAAACATAGTAGGGGCTTAATATATCCTCCTTCCCTCCCTCCCTCCCTTCCTTCTTTCCTTCCTTCTCCAGCTGCCTCTTGGGTATCTCACACTGGATGTCCGGAAGACATCACAAACTGAACATGTCCAAAATGAACCTCATTCTTTCTCCTCGCCTCCCCCCCGCCCCCCCGCCCCATAAACCTAGCTCCATTCCAAGTTTAGTAATTTACTTAAATACCATCTTCCTTACTATTGACACTCTGTTCATCCTCACCGCACATATGGAATAGGTTTGGCATTTTGCCTTTTCTACCTCCACTGTACTTCCTACAAATGTCCCCTTCTCTCCTCTGACTGCCACCCCCCTGGTTCAGGCCCTTATCATGTCACTCCTGGGCTGTAACAACAGCTTTCTGATGTCCCTCCTTCTAGTTTTTCCTCATCCCAAATCGTCTCTACCCCGCTGCCAAAATGCAGTCTGACTGTGTCATCCCCTTACTTAACTCCAGTGACTCCCTATCACCTCCAGGATCAGACATAAAATCCTTTGGCTTTCATAACTTGGCCTTTTTCTACCTTTCTATGTCCCTCCAAGCACTCTGCGTTCCACTGACTCTGGCCTTCACGCTGTCGCTCACTCATGGAACTCCATTTCCCACCTCCACGCCTTTGCCCTAGTGGGGAATGTTTCCCCTCTTCATCACAGACTTTAGTTTTTTGCCCCTCTCACTTCAAGGCTCCTCATCCTGATGTCCGGGCTACTCGGGCAACTCCCACAGACTGCCCTGGATTTCGTTTGCATTTAATCTGTTATCTGCTTCTGTGGGGACCAGCGGTTTCTCTCGTGACTGCCCAAGGCTCCTGGAGGGCTGGATAGACATTGGAGCTGAGGCTCTAAAAGAACCCTCCAGCCTGCGTGCCTATTCCAGACTTTGGCGCGGGCTGGCCCTTTAAGGGGGAGGGGACCAGATGCCTCTGGGGCGGGGCCTTCGTGTGCGCGCTGCCGTCGTGACCATGGTTACGGCGTGACTGGAACGCAGGGGGCGGGCTCATATCCGCGCAGCGCCCGCTCCCCTGACTCCCAGTCCCAACCCGGTGAGTCAGACCTGCGACCCAGGGACACTGAAGCAGCAAGGGGGAGGCAGCGCGGGGGTTGGGGATAGGGACAAGTCTCCTCTAGGGCCCTGCGATGTGCGGGGAGGGGAGGGACCTCGAGATGGGGGGCGGGGCTTGGCGCGCAGGTGGGCATGGGGAGGGGCCTATTCTCCAGGGCAGGCCCAGGGTGGGGGCGGGGCCTCGCGTTGGGGGCGTGGCCGCTGGCTCGCCTCTGGGCATTCCCCTGACTCTTCCCCTCTCAGAGCCCCTAATGAAGGTGGAGGGCGGGGCTGCACACGGGGGCGGGGACATGGGCTGGAGAGGTGAGCCTGTCCCCGCCCCTCAGGGAGCCACCTGCCCGGCAGGGCGGGGCAGGGGGCGGGGCTCCACCATGTCCCGCGTCCCCGCATCCCTGTGGGGGCTGCTGGAGGAGCATATTCAGCCTCCCGAGAGGGCAGAGGTGAAGAGGATCCTGGGTGAGGCCGCGGTGGACCTGAGCCTGGAGCTTCGGGCAGAGGTGATGGTGGGCGGGGTCATAGTGAGGGGTGGGGTTCTCTGGCCTTCCTAGCCCCGCCCCAGCCCCTCCCCTTCCTTCTGCACCTGGCAGGCGGAAATCCTGGAGGCCCTCCTGGAGGAGGAGCGCAAGGTGGTCCAGGGTTCTGGCCACGCCCCCCACCCCAACCCCTTCTCGCTGCTGGCCCCGCCCCCGCTGATGCGGGACCTGGTGAGGAGGGAGCTGAGGCAGCTACTGTGTGGTCTTCACCAAAAGGCGGTGCTGGAGGGCAGGTAGGAAGCTGGATGCCCACGCCCCACTCTGGGGTCCCTCTGCTGCTACTCTGCTGCCTCGCCCAGGCCCCGTGTCCAAACCCTAGAGACCCCAGGGGTCAGTCCCAGCACTTACAGAGGGTTATCCTAAAGACCCCTCCCAACACTCCCTCAGGACCCAGAGACAGCGCCCCCCATTGTGAGCCCCTTCTCTGTGCAGGGTCCCCTCCCCTTCTCTTTCCTCCCTCTGGCCCCGAGCTCCTTGGGGCGGAGGCCCCCAGCCCTCAGGTGCACCCCTCCAGGGACACGGCCAAAGCATGGGCCCGCTACAGCCCCAAAGTGCTTCGCTTTGCCCTTGGAGACCCCAGGGACCCTGTAGAGGACAAGCTTGAAGCCAGGCTGCCGGGATCCCCGGGCCTCAGGTAAGGTCATCTCTGCCCCCCTGGGTCAGGCTCCTGGGTGTGTTAATTGTGTTTGGGGGTGGTTGGAGGAGGGGGAAAAAGATAGATGGATGGATGGATGGATGAATGAGTGAGTGGGTCGGTGGGTGGGTAGATGAGTGGGATGGCTCTGAGGTTTGCAACCCAGGAGAGGTGGGGACCAGACAGAGGAAGCAAAGTCAGCGGGACGTAAGAATTGGCTTGGTCAGGGATGTGGGGGGATGACTGGGTGGGTGGATAGGGGATGGGTGGGCAGGCCTCCCGGAGTCCAGGAGCCTCTCTCTTGACTGAGAAGCAGCCTCCAGGACCTCAGTGCAATCAAGGATTGCCTCAACGTGGCCAACATCGACCGGGTCATCCAGCATCTCCGGTAAGAGCCTAAGAGCCCACTAGGGGAGACCCCAGGGGAGAGGAAAGCCAAGAAAGGGTAAGGTCAAGGTCAGCTAGGCTGGAGCAGGCAGTCAGTGAAAGTGCTGGGCTTTCAGGGAAATCATGTGAGGGAGAAACCAGGTGAGCAAAAGCCTGGTTGAGCATCTGAGAGGAGCCCAGGTTGGGGGAGGCTTTGAATGCCAGGCTTCATCAAGAGGGAGCCATGACGGTTAGTACTGAGCAGGGGAATGATGTGGTCAGATCTGGATTTGGGGGAAGTTACTTTGGCAGCTGAACAGGGGAGATCTGGAGGTCCAGGAGACCAGTAAGGAAACTGCTGCCGTGGTCCAAGGGAGAGCTGATGGATGCCTGAACTGGGGGTGGTTGGTGTGGGTGAAGAGGACAGAGGCGAGAGCTGTCCACGGAGGTAGAAAGGATGAGAGTCTCGTGTGGAATAAGGGAGACGGAGGAGTTGGGGGTGACTCTGAGGTTTGGAACCCAGGAGACAGGGGCCAGACAGAGGGAGAAGAGTCAGCAGGACATGAGAATGGGCTTAGTCATGGATGCAAACAGTGGTGGGAAAGTCAGATGGAGATGGAGGCCCTGGAAGCTGCTGGAGAGGGGTCAAGGTTAGAAGCAGAGACGTGGATCTGGGGCTGAGGACAGGCAGGGGGAGGCACAGTCCTGCTGTAGCCTGTGACCCCTGACTCCTCTGGCCACACTCCAGGACCCTCCTGAAAGAGGAGTGCTGTGCTCTGGAAAGAGAGATCAAAGCCCTGCAGGTGAGCTCCTCCCCCTCCACAGCTGCCCCTGGATTCAGTCGCAGAGGGCCTTGGTGTGTGCCTGGTCCATGGCCACCTGCATCCCCAGGCTTGTGATCATCTTTCCCTTGGCATTCTCTGCCCCTTACCCCTATGGAACTAGGAGAGTCGGTGGGCACCCCATGGAGGGCCCTACCTTTGGGCCTTCTGTGTGAGCAGGTTTTTGCCTGACCTGTGTTGGCCCTGCCTTCCAAAGATGTCTCTCGACCTGCCTCCCCTGAACTCTGGGGGCTCTTTGACGACTAGGGTGGGCCAGCCAGGGCGGGCAGAGGCAGGGCTCTGAGCCTGACTTTGTGGTTCACTGTAGCTCTGCCTGGAGGACGTGCACAGCTCGGTGACAGAATCCTCTCTGATGACATCGGAGCCCACTCTGGCAGGTTGGGATTTGGAACACCCTTTCCCCCTTCTGTGATCTCTGTGAACCCCAGACAAGGGCGTGGGGGAGCAAGGGAGGGCCCTGGGCCCCTGCCACACTGCCCCCAAGCCAGACTAGATGCTCTTCTTCCCAGAACTCAAAGAACAGAAGAGGGCCATGGAACAGGACCTGCTGGGGCCCCCAACACCCCTGGGCCTTTGTCCCAGCTTGCAAGAAGACAAGAGCCAAGATGCTGGCTGGCAAGGGCTGGGCAGGTACAGGCTTGGGCTGGATTTTGGGGAGGGCAGCCGGGCAAGGCCTGGTCGGGGGGTACAGTTGACCTGTTGTCTCCTAGGCAGGGAATGCTCTCCAGCAAAGGCCAGGACCTGCCCTTTTCTGGGCAGCAGCACCAGGAGTCCCTGAGCTATGGCCTGCTGCCTGCCCTTCCCCCTACTTCACACTTCCCTAAGCCTCCTCAGCCACAGGCCTCGGGCACCTCCTCCCACCAGAGCCGCTGGGGCCGCCGCCTTCAGTGCCATTCCCGAGAAGGGCCAATGCCCAGTGCAGGGCTTCCTTCAGGCACCCCCTCCTGATGGCTGTGGCCTGGCAGCCGGGAGCCAAGCTGGGCAATAAAGACCCCCACGCTCAGGAGCAGCTGCGTGTGTCTGTGTGTCTGTGCCTCCGCTGCACCTGCCCCTGTGTGGTCCAGAGCCTCCAGAGGCCTTGCCCACCTCCCGCCGCAGCAGAGCGGGGAAGAACACCGCCAGCCCAAAGCCAGGAATAAACATTTCATTAAATCCTAGCAGTGCACCGGCCAGGCTGGGCCAGGGCCGAGCTCCACCCTTACGGCCACAGGGGATTAGAGGAGACATACACGGCAGAGGAACCAAGGACAGGGCCAGTGTGCAGGCCAAGGAAGGCAGGCAGGCTGGGCAGAGCAGCGGCGCCCTCCAACCCCAGACAGGCCCGTTTGGCACCATCACGTGACACTTTCCTGCACACCCCTGGGGCTGGGCTCTGGACCAGGGTGTAGAGTAGGGGGACAGGGAAAGGAGCAGTCCCCAGAGAGGCCCAAGGGAGGGTGGGACGAGCCTGGAAGACACACTGGGCCTGGAGCTGGGGGGTGGGGGAGCAACCACAAATACACACAGTTTGGACACAAAGAGGAGCCCACAGATGTACCCCCTGCGGACCGCACGAGAGCTATTGCTAAAGGGGTGGCAGCCGGCCGCACAGAGAATGCTGCTGGAGATGGGCCAGCAGGGCCAGGGGGAGGCAGCCTCCTGAAGTCACAGTGGGGGTCCCCCCAGCCCTCCCCACTCCATTTCTCTACCCTAACTCAGCAGGCAGACAGCTGAAACCAGCTTGGGACATCACATTTCATCTTCAGGGACGGAGTTTGGCATCCTTGGGAAGGGTGTGTGCCAGGCCTGGCCTGGCACCATCTGAGACCCAGGGTGGCAGCCAGCTGCATGCTGGGCACAGGAAGGTCACAGCCCTCCTGGCCCTCAGGGCTGAGGCTGGGCACCTCCCCTTTCTAGTGGGGGTCAAGAGAACAGCAGAAAGCATGAAGGAGGCTGGTCCCACAAGGCCAGACGGGCCCCTGGTTTGGGGTTTTGCCTTTCCTGGGTGAAGGGCAAGGTGGCCCTCTCACTCCAGGTGACACTCAGTGGCTTCTGAGGTCCTTCCCAACTCTCCTAGGCCAAGAGCTTGCCCAGAGCCCAGGGTCCTGGGTGACAGGGGGCTCAAGGGCTCCCGTTCACCCTGCAGCAGCAAAAGGCTCCCAACATCTTGGCCTCCTTGGGGGCGCACCCTCTCCTTCCTCACTGCCACTTCTACCCCATCCTCCCACCAGCCACCTTCAGCCTAGGCCCCACATCCCTTGGTGTGTGGACAGATTTAGGGTGGAGGGACAGAGCTGGCCCCTGACCTCTGCCCCCTCCTGGTCCTGGCACAGAAAAGGGACTTGTAATGTAAACGCTGGGGGAATGGGCAGGGGGAGACACAGGATGAGAGACTCAAAGGGCACAGGGTTAGCGGTGGTGGTGGCAGCAGCAGCAGGCAGGGTGCTCACTGCCTCCTGCCTGGGGCAGTCTCTGAAGGGTGGGTAGGGAAGGGCTTGGAGGGGGTCAGCCCCCTGCAGCAGTGCTTATATCCGGGAGTCCTGGGGGTGGGCAGAGCCATTGCTGCCCCGGAGCAAGTTGTGGGCCTTGTCTGGGTGCAGGGGCTGAACCTCCAGCCCGTCCTCCGGGGAGACTCCTGTAGCAGGGGCATAGCGACCTGTCCGGTGCTCAGGGAGGGCCGGACCCCAGTCCCTGCTCGGTGTCGTGGCATTTTTCAAACGCTGAACGAGAGAGGGTGGGCAAGGGAGCAGGCCAGGGAGGGGATCAGAATAGTGTCCCTGCTCCCCTCCCCACCTCCATCCCTTCTGATCCCCATCCAGTCCCTGTCTCTCTCCAGCTCACCTGTAGAAAAGTGTCCCCATCCACACGGCAGAGCTGGAACAGGGCATAGAGAGGGATGCAGATGACCGAGGATAGAGCCATGAGGAAGCCGATGGCCACTGCCCAGCCTGGGTACTGGTACTGGTTGTAGGTAATTGGTCGATACTGGATCACCGTGAAGATGAGGATGAACTGCATGGTGGGGGCAAGGAGAAAGTGGGCCATGAGGACCCAGAAGGTTCTGGGCCAGATTCTCTCTGGACCCTGTACTCCCTGCCCTGGGACTCCCATGGATCCAGGCAAGGCTTGTCCTAGGCCAGATAGCGGCACAAGGGATCAGGCCCTGCCCTGGACATGCGTGTGTGTGCACACATGTATGTTGAGGGGAGGGAGATGCTTGGAGTCAGGTTTGGGCCAGGAGAGGCCGTGGCCGTCCCACCTAATGCTACCGCCAAACAGGCCAAAGAGAAACTGCTGGGGCCGAGAGAGAGGGGATGGTGCCACTAACATAGTGTCACCCACGGGAAGCTGCAAATATGCAAATGGTGACTGTCGTAAGCCAAATGGCACCAGGTAAGAAGGAATTCTCTAGGGCTGGGGAGGAGCTGGGAAAGGGACGCGAGATCTCACAGAATTATAGCTGAAGGAAGGTATCTCATTGAGTCCAATCTGTGAACTAGACTGTTTTCTCTTTCCAACATCCCTGTCAAATCCAGCCTTGGCTTGAAGACCTCCAGGAATGGGGAGCTCACTACCTTCTGAGGCATCCTATTCCACCTTGGGTCAGTTTTCGCTGTTAAGAAGTTTTTTCTTACACTGAATCAAAATCTGCCCCTGGGATTTCTACATATTGCCTCAGGTTCATGGCACAAGGAGAATTAGTTGAAGAAAGGCCATTTGGCCTTGCAAGGTGAAGGGGGGTGGAGTGGGTAAGAAGTGCCTTAAGGTACTGAAGGGCTGCCAGAATGAAAAGGGAGTTGACTGGTTCTGCCTGGCTTCAGAAAGTAGAACCTGAAGCCAATGGGTTGGTAGATGGGGGTATCACAGAGGCAGAGTTAGGGTTGATGTCAGAAAGAACTTCCTTCCACTCAGAGCTGTCCCAGAGCGGACTGATCCCTTGTGGGGCAGGGGGGTTGGAGTGGGGATTCTTTTTCAGGGGCGTATTGTTCTAGAAGGCCACTTGAGTCCTTTTGGCGCCATACGTCTCTGGTTCAGTGAAGAGGCTGTCATAACATAAGAATATTGTAGAGGTCTGGGCCGGATGACTTCCAAAGTTCCGGGACAAATCCCTCCTTCACACAGCAGCTATTCACACTGGAAGGCAGCTCCCCCTGAGGCTTCTCTTTTCCAAGGTAAATATCTCCAGTTCCAGCATCGGATTGTCCTGTAGCAAGGATCTCAGCCTCCGGTGCCCTTCTCTGGAAGCTTTCTAGCTTGTCAGTGTCTTGGCCAGAACTGGCCCCAGTCTTCCAGATGGGCTCAGACCCAGACCAAGGACAGTGGGGAATGCGTCTCCTTATGCCTCTTTGGGAAACACCTGGGGCCACACCAGCTTTTTGAAACGGACCATTCAGATGCAGCTTATATTGAGCTTGGAGCCCCATTAAACTTGTAGACCTTTCTCAGCCAGACTGTTGTCTGGCCACACATGGCTCACCCTAGCTCCTGTACTTGTGCACTTACTTCCCTATTACATTTTGCCTTGTTAGATTGGGCTGATCATTCTAGTCCATAAAGATCTTTTGGGATTCTGCCTGTTGTCCCATTTACAATGGTCTTAAACCCCTGAGAACAAGCCAACAAACTGGGCTGATCCCTATAATGGGATTTAGGAAGGCTGGCACACAGGTGGAAGCAGTTGGCAGTTTCCTCAAATTTTCCATCTCTTAAAGCGACAAAAGTCAGAGATGAGGCAGCCGAGTGCCAACCACATTGGGGGTGGGGAGGGGGGAGACATTGTCTCATTATATGTTCTGGCAGGACTTTTTGAGGGGGCACGTGTAGAGCTGTGCATCTCTCCAGCTGTGCTGGGCCTTTCCCTGGAAGGCTTTCTGGGAAAGGCTCTTTGAGAATTAGTGCTCACCTAGGACTCCAGAAGATACAGGCACCTGAGCCAGTGGGCAGAAACCCAGGTCAGCCCGTGGGAATATTGAATTAATTCCTGGGACCCAAAGCTGGCTGCCAGCCAAGAGGTGGGGATGGGCCTTTGCCATGCAAGGAGACAGGGGGAACTAGAAGTGGGGAAGCCCTGCTCTGGTCCGCCCCGAGGGACTGGGATGTCTGGGACACTTGGAAGTTCATTCCTGCAGAGGTCTTTCAGCATGTTGGCCCTCCTTCCTCATGGGAAAATGGAGGATTGGGAGAGCTAGACATCTGGCTTGTTCTGGAGTGGGGATGTTCCCATCTCGTTGGTCTATTCAGTGATTGATCTGCTGAAGAAGGAAGTGAGGCCCTTGGGATCCTGTAGGTGAGAGTCATGAAGGACTGAGGGCTGATATGGGAACTTGGGAAGTGGAAGAGAGCATCAGAAGTCTGGAATGACTGGCCATGTTGGTCCATGCTCATCTGCCCAGTTGTGGAACCAGCCTCAATTAAGTGCTTCCTATATGCCAAGGGCTGAGGTGGGTGGGCGCCACCTCGTGGTCTGCCCAGGAACTACTCCAGCCGCTCCCCTGCTGGCTGATAAAATGAATTTCTGTGGGAATAAGAGCTTCAGCGTGATTGAAACAAAATTGAAAAAACTCAAGGACAGCCAGGTTCAGATGAGTTCAGAGGTCTCTGCTGTCCTGAGGTCCTGTGATTCTGTAAAGCACTTTAGGGAATACTGTGAATGGAACACTCAGCACCAGAGCAGCTACTCTATACAGATTAATATAATAATAACAATGATGAGGAACAGCAGAAGGAGGATGTAAATAGCATTTATGTAGCACGTACTCTGTGCTAGGCACTGTGCTAAGCATTTCACAATTATTATGTCATTTGACAACCCTGGGAGGTAGGTGCTATTATTTTCCCCATTTTACAAATGCGGAAACCAAGGCCAACGAGGTTAAATGACTTTCACAGGGTCAGACAGCTAGTAAGTGTCTCAGGGCCCAATCTGAACTCGGGCCTTCCTGACTCCAGGTCTGGCACTCCATCCACTGAGCCACCTAGCTGCCTGACCACGTCCTACTAAGACCATGTAAAAGGACAATGCAGGCTGCCGCCTAGAAACCAGTGATGCAGACTTTAGTTCCTGGGAAAGAGATCATTAAAGAGATGGTTGGTGGGCATCTAGAAAGGGAAGCAGTGATCAGTCACAAAGAACCAGCCTGGCTTCCTCAATGATGGAGAGATCCTGCCAGATTCTCATCATTTCTTTTTTTTGACAGGATTACTAAACTAGTAATAACAATGCTGTGGATAGAGTTTGCTTAGGTTTTAGCAAAGCCATTGATAAAATAACTTGTCATATTCTTGTGGAGATGATGTGAGCTAGATGATAATAAAATGATCTGAAGTCAAAACTGGCTAGATGGCCAGACTCAAAGACAACTGTTCATGGTTCCATGTTAACATGGAGGTCTCTAGTGGAGTGACCCAGGGATCTATGCTTGTCTCTTTGCTGTTCACTTTTTTATCAGTTGACTTGGATAAAAGCATAGACAGAATGTTTCTCTAACATATGAATGACACCAAGTTGGGAGGGATAGCTAACACACTGGATAATAGAATCAGGATCCAAAAGGATTTTGATAGGCTAGGGCATTGGTCTAAATCTAAAAAATGAAATTCCCTGGAGATAAATGTAAAATCTTACACTTACACAAAAAATCAACTTCATTAGAACAGTTAATGGTTATACAGAAGTTCTGAAAAAGATCTGGAAGTTTCAGTAGACTGCAAGCCCAATCAGTTAGCAGTATGATATGGCAGCCAAAACATCTAATGTGATCTTGGGCTGCACTGGGAGGGGGCATAGCTTCCGGAAATAGAGAGGTGATAGTTCCTTTGCCCCTTGCCCTTCATCTGAAGTACTGAATTCAGTTCTGGTTTAAGAGGGACGTTGATAAGGGGTAGCTAGGTGGTGCAGTGGATACAGCACTGGCCCTGGAGTCAGGAGGACCTGAGTTCAAATCCAGGCTCAGACACATAACACTTACTAGCTCTGTGACCCTGGGCAGATCACTTAACCCCATTGCCTAACAAAAAGAAGAAAAAAAAAGAAGGATGTTGATAAGCTGAGAGCGTCCAGAGGAGATGGTAAAGAAACTTGAGTCCAGATCATAGAAGGATCAGTTGAAGGAAGTGGAAAAGAGAACCCTCAGGGGGCCATGATAGATATCTTCAAATATGTGGAGGGCTTTCTGTCATGTCTGAACCCAAGGGGCAGAACCAGGAGAACTTTTCAATAACGAGAGCTGGACAGAATCGACTATCACATAGTAGGTGCTTCATAAATGTTGACTGATTGAGCGATTCTCAAGGTGATGGGTTCCCTCTCCTTGTGGTCTTCGAGCAGCCGTGTCAGGTATATCAGAGCAGAGATGGATGGTAAGCTGCTGAGGTCCCTCCCAACTCCTGACTCCATCATTCTGTGGTAAATGTGGATGTGGAGGCAATGGAGAAAAGCAATGGGGTAGGGCACAAAGATGATGGTGGACATGCTAGATACATTGGTTCAGACGAGTTGCATTTTCAAGGTCTTTCCTGAAAGTTTAGTTATTTATAAATGTAATTTTGTATCATAAGTGAAAGTTCTAGAAGTTTTGTCCACAAAGTCCTACTCCGATGCCTCATCATGGCCCAGGTTCTTGGGTGCTATGCTAGTGCAGAGTGATTCATATTCTGTGAGGCCAGAAGGAGTTCAAGGCTGATCCCAGTAACATTTGGGGTCTGCCTTCTGAGGACCAGGAGTAGCTCCTCCCAGCAGACAGGCTGTGGAGTGGTAAATTTGGTGGTCCTTGCATCTGCAGCATGGAGGAGAGGGGTCAGGGATGGGGAGAATGGCTCTGATGGATTCTGGCACTCTCCAGGTGAGATCTTCCCTCAGCAACCAGGCAGCTGGACTCTTATTGGGAGAACCAAATTTTATCAGTGCTGTCATTCTTGCTAGAAAAGAAACCAGAAGCCTGAAGGGAGCTGAAGTTCTGGCTCATAGGTTCTCCTTGTTGAGGTGTATAAAGAGGTCAGGAGAGTCACTTTGG